AACTAAATCTTTGATAAACTTTTATAAGTTTCTGTAAAGATTCTCACAGACTAAAAATGTCAGAATTTACATTTTCTCGCTTGAATTAGTGTTTTTTTAGACATTTTTATTTTCAATTCAAACATTTCAGAGAGGATTTAACCTTCTGGCTCACATTATGTTCTGTTTAAAAATAGAGGTTTTATTTTGAAACTTCCTGGACTCTGCAGGGTCCAGAGGAGTGGCTCGACCAGGACTTCTCGCCGCTCGCCGTCGGACAGGAAGTGGACGGGTGGATGAACTCAACTCCTGTCAGGGGAGACGGGGAGCCGCTCGGGTTTGACGGAGGGCGGGTGAAGGCGTGGCTGAGAGTCCAGAGCTCCGCCCACACTGAGAGCAGGACTTCCTGCTCCAAAGCRGTGCAGACGGAGGTGGAGGTGGGTCACCGATGATTTAAAAACATTAAAAAAAAGTTCATTTTTTTCCACATCTTTACTCAAAATCCATTTTTTCTCATGTTTTTCTATTTTTATTTTTTACCTGAAACAGAAAAGATTGTTCCWGTTTTTATTTTTCCGTAAAAAAAATATATTTTTAGTTTCCCCGAAAAACATCTCAGTTCCTCCAAAAACTTTGTTCTGTTTAAAATTCAGCTGCTGCTTCTCTTTTTGTTTTCTTAGCTTTTAGCTGGATTAAGCTTTAAAGCTTTACCTTTCAGGTAGCATTTAGACATTTTTAGCAACACTTTTACATCTAGACTTTTGCTACTTTAGCTTTAAAACGCATTAGCTCTCAGATAGCGTTTAGGTAAATTAGTTATTTTTGTGTCCATGTTTTAGTGAAGTTTTATTCTTGTTAGAGACAGACGTGTTTGTGTCGGATCAGGTTATTTTCTGTCCTTAGCTCGGCGCTAACCTTCAGCTGTACGGTGTCTGAAGGACTCGACCTGGCTGCTCTGAAAGCCCAGATGTTTCTGCTCCAGATGTTTTAGCTGTTTTTTAAAATCTGCTCAGATGAAGCGGGCCTTTGGTTGAAGACGAGACATCAGCTGTTCTGAGCTGTTAGTAAACATTCGGCTCTCCTCGTGTTTTTCTCTCCATTAGACTTCATTTCCTCCTCCTCTTCCTCCTCCTCCTCCTCCTCCTCTTCCTCCGTCCTGCTCCTCCTGCTGCCTAATGGATCCATAAAGTCTGGATTTATTCATGGAGTCTGGCTGCTCTCACAGTCCCCATAAAACCAGCAGAGGAACCCATACACTTCCTTGTTTCCTTGTTTCCTTCCCTCGTTTCCTCATTTCCTTCCCTCGTTTCCTTGTTTCCTTCCCTCGTTTCCCCATTTCCTTCCCTCGTTTCCCCATTTCCTTCCCTCATTTCCTCGTTTCCTTCCCTAATTTCATTCCCTCCTTCCCTTGTTTCTTCCCTCATTTCCTTCCCTCGTTTCCACGTTTGCTACCCTCCTTCCCTCGTTTCCTAATTTCCTTCCCTCGTTTCCTTCGCTCATTTCCTTCCATCATTCCCTTCCATCATTCCCTCATTTCCTTCCCTCATTTCCTCATTTCCTTCCCTCATTTCATTCCCTCCTTCCCTTGTTTCTTCCCTCATTTCATTCTCTCGTTTCCTTCCCTCGTTTCCACGTTTGCTTCCCTCCTTCCCCCGTTTCCTTATTTCCTTCCCTCATTTCCTTTGCTCATTTCCTTCCATCGTTCCCTCATTTCCTTCCCTCCTTCCCTCGTTTCCCCATTTCTTCCCTCATTTCCTCGTTTCCTTCCCTAATTTCATTCCCTCCTTCCCTTGTTTCTTCCCTCATTTCATTCCCTCGTTTCCTTCTCTTCTTTCCACGTTTGCTTCCCTCCTTCCCTTGTTTCCAAATTTCCTTCCCTCATTTCCTTCGCTCATTTCCTTCCATCGTTCCCTCATTTCCTTCCCTCCTTCCCTCGTTTCTTCATTTCCTTCCCTCATTTCATTCCCTCATTTCCTTCCCTCATTTCCTCGTTTTTTGCTCTTTTCCTTCCCTTGTTTCCTTTCCTCGTTTCTTCATTTCCTTTCCTCCTTCCCTCGTTTCCTTCCCTCGTTTCCTTCCCTCATTTCCTCAGTTTTTGCTCTTTTCCTTCCCTTGTTTCCTTTCCTCGTTTCTTCATTTCCTTTCCTCCTTCCCTCATTTCATTCCCTCATTTCCTTCCATCATTTCCTCGTTTTTTGCTCTTTTCCTTCCCTTGTTTCCTTTCCTCGTTTCTTTCCCTCGTTTCTTCATTTCCTTTCCTCCTTCCCTCATTTCCTTCCCTCATTTCCTTCCCTCCTTCCCTTGTTTCCTTCCCTCATTTCGTTTCCTCGTTTCTTTCCCTCGTTTCCTCATTTCCTTCCCTCCTTTCCTCCTTCCCTCATTTCCTTACCTCGTTTCCTTCCCTTGTTTCCTTCCATCCTTAACAAGTGTTGATCCCTGTGTTTCCTGTTAGCGTGACGAAGATGAACGCCACATCRACCTTCGTCTCGAGGGCCAGTGTTGCTATGACGACACACACCTGCTTCCTGTCCTGTCCCTCCCCTCACCACACAACCTGAACACAAAAACCTGCGGGGGTCATCCGCCCCGCCTTCATCAGCCAGAAACCCAGGTGAGCAGACGGTGGGCGGAGCTTATCTCTGTTTGAGTTTTTCCTGAGAAATTAACAGGAAGTCTTTGTTCTTCAGCCTGAAGAGGAGTCGTCCTGCTGTGATGAAGACGAGTCCAGGTGAGAAACACACAAAGGGGAGGAGCTTATTCAAAGAACCTGCAGAACCATAAAAATAAAAACATTATTTCCTGTTTCCTCAGCGTGACCTCCAGAACTGCCTCCTCCTCCTCCTCGGTGCTCCTCTTCCTCCTGCTGGCCACCTTCGCTCTGCTCGCCGCCCTGGTCTGGCTCGCCGCAGAGACACCATGTCACCGCAGCAACAGGATGCAYCGAGGCCTCCACCTGATGCTGAGCTACGTCGACGGGCCGCCGCCCACCTGAGGCCCAGCCCACATGAGGCCCCGCCCACCTGCGGCCCAGGCTGAGCCGCTGGAGGTCAAAGGTCCTTCCTCAGAACAGTGGGAGCAGAAACGTCATGATGCTTTCTTTAACTGTCACTAAAGGTTAAAGGTCAAACCAGCTCCCATCCCCTTCAAAATAAAAGTGCTCTGTTTGATGCAAGAAGAGAAATGATTTAATTTGGACAAAAACAGATTAAATCTCAGTTCAGACTAAAAACCTTTGAACTTCTCCAAACAGCTGCAGTTTTAAAGTTAAAATCTGCAGCTAAAGACTTTAATCTGCAAAATCTGACTTTATTTTTCATAAACTTTAATGAAACAAACTTACATTTTTAAAAACTGATCACTTTTTTTATTTAATCAAAACTGTGATTTATTTCCTTTTTTTTACTCTGTTTTTTTTTACAATAACAGAGAAATATGCTGGACTTTATTTTATTTTTGTTGTTTTCTTTAAGAAAAAGTGCCTAAAACAGTTTCCT